CCCTAACCCTAACCCTACCCTAACCCTAACCCTAACCCTAACCCTAACCCTAACCCTAACCCTAACCCTAACCCTAACCCTAACCCTAACCCTAACCCTAACCCTAACCCTAACCCTAACCCTAACCCTAACCCTAACCCGAACCCTAACCCTAACCCTAACCCTAACCCTAACCCTAACCCGAACCCTAACCCTAACCCTAACCCTAACCCTAACCCTAACCCTAACCCTAACCCTAACCCTAACCCTAACCCTAACCCGAACCCTAACCCTAACCCTAACCCTAACCCTAACCCTAACCCTAACCCTAACCCTAACCCTAACCCTAACCCTAACCCTAACCCTAACCCTAACCCTAACCCTAACCCGAACCCTAACCCTAACCCTAACCCGAACCCTAACCCTAACCCGAACCCGAACCCGAACCCTAACCCGAACCCGAACCCGAACCCGAACCCGAACCCGAACCCGAACCCGAACCCGAACCCGAACCCGAACCCGAACCCGAACCCGAACCCGAACCCGAACCCTAACCCGAACCCTAACCCGAACCCGAACCCGAACCCGAACCCGAACCCGAACCCGAACCCGAACCCGAACCCGAACCCGAACCCGAACCCGAACCCGAACCCGAACCCGAACCCGAACCCGAACCCGAACCCGAACCCGAACCCGAACCCGAACCCGAACCCGAACCCGAACCCGAACCCGAACCCGAACCCGAACCCGAACCCGAACCCGAACCCGAACCCGAACCCGAACCCGAACCCGAACCCTAACCCGAACCCGAACCCGAACCCGAACCCGAACCCGAACCCGAACCCGAACCCGAACCCGAACCCGAACCCGAACCCGAACCCGAACCCGAACCCGAACCCGAACCCGAACCCGAACCCGAACCCGAACCCGAACCCGAACCCGAACCCGAACCCGAACCCGAACCCGAACCCGAACCCGAACCCGAACCCGAACCCGAACCCGAACCCGAACCCGAACCCGAACCCGAACCCGAACCCGAACCCGAACCCGAACCCGAACCCGAACCCGAACCCGAACCCGAACCCGAACCCGAACCCGAACCCGAACCCGAACCCGAACCCGAACCCGAACCCGAACCCGAACCCGAACCCGAACCCGAACCCGAACCCGAACCCGAACCCGAACCCGAACCCGAACCCGAACCCGAACCCGAACCCGAACCCGAACCCGAACCCGAACCCGAACCCGAACCCGAACCCGAACCCGAACCCGAACCCGAACCCGAACCCGAACCCGAACCCGAACCCGAACCCGAACCCGAACCCGAACCCGAACCCGAACCCGAACCCGAACCCGAACCCGAACCCGAACCCGAACCCGAACCCGAACCCGAACCCGAACCCGAACCCGAACCCGAACCCGAACCCGAACCCGAACCCGAACCCGAACCCGAACCCGAACCCGAACCCGAACCCGAACCCGAACCCGAACCCGAACCCGAACCCGAACCCGAACCCGAACCCGAACCCGAACCCGAACCCGAACCCGAACCCGAACCCGAACCCGAACCCGAACCCGAACCCGAACCCGAACCCGAACCCGAACCCGAACCCGAACCCGAACCCGAACCCGAACCCGAACCCGAACCCGAACCCGAACCCGAACCCGAACCCGAACCCGAACCCGAACCCGAACCCGAACCCGAACCCGAACCCGAACCCGAACCCGAACCCGAACCCGAACCCGAACCCGAACCCGAACCCGAACCCGAACCCGAACCCGAACCCGAACCCGAACCCGAACCCGAACCCGAACCCGAACCCGAACCCGAACCCGAACCCGAACCCGAACCCGAACCCGAACCCGAACCCGAACCCGAACCCGAACCCGAACCCGAACCCGAACCCGAACCCGAACCCGAACCCGAACCCGAACCCGAACCCGAACCCGAACCCGAACCCGAACCCGAACCCGAACCCGAACCCGAACCCGAACCCGAACCCGAACCCGAACCCGAACCCGAACCCGAACCCGAACCCGAACCCGAACCCGAACCCGAACCCGAACCCGAACCCGAACCCGAACCCGAACCCGAACCCGAACCCGAACCCGAACCCGAACCCGAACCCGAACCCGAACCCGAACCCGAACCCGAACCCGAACCCGAACCCGAACCCGAACCCGAACCCGAACCCGAACCCGAACCCGAACCCGAACCCGAACCCGAACCCGAACCCGAACCCGAACCCGAACCCGAACCCGAACCCGAACCCGAACCCGAACCCGAACCCGAACCCGAACCCGAACCCGAACCCGAACCCGAACCCGAACCCGAACCCGAACCCGAACCCGAACCCGAACCCGAACCCGAACCCGAACCCGAACCCGAACCCGAACCCGAACCCGAACCCGAACCCGAACCCGAACCCGAACCCGAACCCGAACCCGAACCCGAACCCGAACCCGAACCCGAACCCGAACCCGAACCCGAACCCGAACCCGAACCCGAACCCGAACCCGAACCCGAACCCGAACCCGAACCCGAACCCGAACCCGAACCCGAACCCGAACCCGAACCCGAACCCGAACCCGAACCCGAACCCGAACCCGAACCCGAACCCGAACCCGAACCCGAACCCGAACCCGAACCCGAACCCGAACCCGAACCCGAACCCGAACCCGAACCCGAACCCGAACCCGAACCCGAACCCGAACCCGAACCCGAACCCGAACCCGAACCCGAACCCGAACCCGAACCCGAACCCGAACCCGAACCCGAACCCGAACCCGAACCCGAACCCGAACCCGAACCCGAACCCGAACCCGAACCCGAACCCGAACCCGAACCCGAACCCGAACCCGAACCCGAACCCGAACCCGAACCCGAACCCGAACCCGAACCCGAACCCGAACCCGAACCCGAACCCGAACCCGAACCCGAACCCGAACCCGAACCCGAACCGAACCCGAACCCGAACCCGAACCCGAACCCGAACCCGAACCCGAACCCGAACCCGAACCCGAACCCGAACCCGAACCCGAACCCGAACCCGAACCCGAACCCGAACCCGAACCCGAACCCGAACCCGAACCCGAACCCGAACCCGAACCCGAACCCGAACCCGAACCCGAACCCGAACCCGAACCCGAACCCGAACCCGAACCCGAACCCGAACCCGAACCCGAACCCGAACCCGAACCCGAACCCGAACCCGAACCCGAACCCGAACCCGAACCCTAACCCGAACCCGAACCCGAACCCGAACCCGAACCCGAACCCGAACCCGAACCCGAACCCGAACCCGAACCCGAACCCGAACCCGAACCCGAACCCGAACCCGAACCCGAACCCGAACCCGAACCCGAACCCGAACCCGAACCCGAACCCGAACCCGAACCCGAACCCGAACCCGAACCCGAACCCGAACCCGAACCCGAACCCGAACCCGAACCCGAACCCGAACCCGAACCCGAACCCGAACCCGAACCCGAACCCGAACCCGAACCCGAACCCGAACCCGAACCCGAACCCGAACCCGAACCCGAACCCGAACCCGAACCCGAACCCGAACCCGAACCCGAACCCGAACCCGAACCCGAACCCGAACCCGAACCCGAACCCGAACCCGAACCCGAACCCGAACCCGAACCCGAACCCGAACCCGAACCCGAACCCGAACCCGAACCCGAACCCGAACCCGAACCCGAACCCGAACCCGAACCCGAACCCGAACCCGAACCCGAACCCGAACCCGAACCCGAACCCGAACCCGAACCCGAACCCGAACCCGAACCCGAACCCGAACCCGAACCCGAACCCGAACCCGAACCCGAACCCGAACCCGAACCCGAACCCGAACCCGAACCCGAACCCGAACCCGAACCCGAACCCGAACCCGAACCCGAACCCGAACCCGAACCCGAACCCGAACCCGAACCCGAACCCGAACCCGAACCCGAACCCGAACCCGAACCCAACCCGAACCCGAACCCGAACCCGAACCCGAACCCGAACCCGAACCCGAACCCGAACCCGAACCCGAACCCGAACCCGAACCCGAACCCGAACCCGAACCCGAACCCGAACCCGAACCCGAACCCGAACCCGAACCCGAACCCGAACCCGAACCCGAACCCGAACCCGAACCCGAACCCGAACCCGAACCCGAACCCGAACCCGAACCCGAACCCGAACCCGAACCCGAACCCGAACCCGAACCCGAACCCGAACCCGAACCGAACCCGAACCCGAACCCGAACCCGAACCCGAACCCGAACCCGAACCCGAACCCGAACCCGAACCCGAACCCGAACCCGAACCCGAACCCGAACCCGAACCCGAACCCGAACCCGAACCCGAACCCGAACCCGAACCCGAACCCGAACCCGAACCCGAACCCGAACCCGAACCCGAACCCGAACCCGAACCCGAACCCGAACCCGAACCCGAACCCGAACCCGAACCCGAACCCGAACCCGAACCCGAACCCGAACCCGAACCCGAACCCGAACCCGAACCCGAACCCGAACCCGAACCCGAACCCGAACCCGAACCCGAACCCGAACCCGAACCCGAACCCGAACCCGAACCCGAACCCGAACCCGAACCCGAACCCGAACCCGAACCCGAACCCGAACCCGAACCCGAACCCGAACCCGAACCCGAACCCGAACCCGAACCCGAACCCGA